TTTCCATGATTCTTTACACTGTAGATTCTCACTGAAGGAACTATGAATGGCCACATACTGAATGGAATGTAGTAAACAAAAATAAACTCAAAATAACTCAAATTTGTCATAAAAATTGGAGGAGTGTAACGGTATATGTATTCGTGCCGAACCGTTTTGGTGTGTGGCAGTGCACGAGTGAGTTTGCGCAATTTGTGTGTGTTTACATTCCACCACTACATGTGCAGCTACACAGAAGGCTCAGCTCTTTAATATTCATGAGGGAACTCCATGTCCATGTTTGGGGTGACAGTGTTTCCCGCTTTATAGTTAGAGCGGCCACCTTGACAACGCTTGTCCCACACCTTGACTCCGTCCTTCCGAACCACGTGAATCCTCGCAGCACTATGGTTGTTGCGCCCTGATCCTCACTTTCACCTTTCGCCGGCACAGAATCTCCCCCTCCCCTACATAGCCACGACCATTGTCCCTGGGAAAGTGTATTTTCAACCGCTGGGGACATTTTAACTGCAGCAGATCTGCACTTACTACAGACAATGTGGACAAGCTGTTTTTTTTCTGGCCAAAAACATGAAGATTGCATAAAACTTCACAATTTAAATGTTAGTGCTGCGCTTTACTTTTTAAAAAAGTTTTGTTTACTGTTTACAAGGAATTTATTTTTTAATAATGTTTCATACATTTGTTGCTTATTTGAGAATATTTTTATTTACCGTATTTTACAGGCTATGAGGCGCTCTGGATTATAAGACTCACTGTCATTAAATGGTCTATTTTCAAACTTTTTTCACAAATAAACCGCACCGGACTTTAAACAAAACACAACAGTTTGATGGGTCAGTGGGACTTTCTTTGTTGCGTTCACGGTGACTCTGGGCTTTGTTCAGTTGTGGCGTGTAGGGAGGGTGCTGTCTGGGGCCGCTGGATTGTCGGCGTGTTCGCAGTGACTCAGTTGTTCAGTTTGTGCCTAGAAGTGGCACATTGCACTCGCTTTTTCGGTTCGTTCCTCCGTTCCGGCGTGGAGTGGAGTGATGAGTGTGTCTGCGGGTGTTTTTGCTGCATGGTTACTGTCTGCTCCGTGTGTGTTTGCGTGCGCTGCGGGTGGTGCGGCTTTGTAGTTTACTGAAGTCGTTCTGGGACCCCTGAGTGGATTCATGTATTCACGCTCTGGATTGTGGGGCGCACAGTTATTTTTTTGATGGGGTTGGTGGCTCAAGAGCGCGTCCTATAGTCCGGAAAATATGGTAACTTATTAGTATTACCAAGCTGCACTTTGCATTTATTTTAATTTCCCGTTTGTATAATGTTAAAACAAATGGTTGCTTTAATAAACACAGAAATGGTTTTGCATTTTGTTCCCATACTGTACCAAAAATGAACCGAACCGTGACCCCAAACTTGAGGTACATACCGAACCGTGATTTTTGTGTACCGTTACACCCCTAAAAAAATAACCTCAGTTTGCTTTGACCACTGCTTTGGACACTTTTGGCATTTCTTGACCCTGACGCAGCACACGGTGAAGTGAAAACCATTTCAGGAGACTTGAAGCTCATTACAAGAAGGGTTACCATGTTTATAGTTGGCTTCTGGTAAGATTGTGTTTAAAAAAGATCAGATTACGTTTTTTCAGCAACTAACAAGCTGCGAAGTATCAATTGTACTACATTAATACTCAAATGTAGTGTGGATTATCAATATTGATCAGGGTAAATAAAAAAACCCAGAAGTGTAACAACATTAAGACTTCCTATACCATCTAAAGTGGCCTATATTACCGGAAAAAGCGACCAATTATTCCCCTACTATAAGCGGTAGCAATTACAAGCCATTTCCAAATGAATCGACTTCAATATTCTCCATTACTTTTCTGTCACTTCCATTAAACGGAAACAAAAAAAAAAGCTGTCCGTATGCCCGCTGTTGACAAGTCATTTTCCATTTCCCCTTTTCTAGGAACATTACGGTACGGCGGATTTGGACTCATTCCTCAGACAAAGACAGAATGAGAAGTCCTCCGAGCATTTCCAAAGTTGATGGACACAAATTATGCACCACTCCAGACTGCCTTTGTGAGCTTTAATTGGAATTATAATGGAGCCTGTTCCCTTTTGAGAGGCAAATGTATTTTCTTAAAGTGGCTCTTTATACTTATTCAAACACTCACCTTAATGCATTCCTGTCGCGTTTTTATTATTAGAACGAGAAAACAGGAAGTGCATCATCTTTTACCTTCGAAATTCTGGATTAGAAAGAGAAAGATCTTCAACGTTTAGAGTAAAAAACAGTGGAGCTTCTTGTCTCCATGGAGATGTTTTTGCTCTGCTCTGAGATCAACATATTTATTTTGTCTTTACTGAATTACAAATGTTGTCGTGAGAGCAAAATGCCTTGAAAAACATGTATTCTAATTAAGTGAGACCCCGTTTCCATAGATCTGACCTGTGACTCGGACTAGACTCCATGTTTAAAGGTCGTATATTACAAAAAATGGATTCTTGTGAGCGATAAGAATCTGTGTATCATTTGTTCATTCGTTTTTCAATATAAAACCCAAGATAAGAAAATGAAAAAAAAAACATCTATTTTCTTCATTATTTGTCTCAGAAACCAAAATGAAAAAACGGATAACGATTCGTTTTTTCAGTTTTCGATTTTGTGTTTAAATGAATAAGGGAAAAATGGATTACAACCATTTCCCGTTTCTGGACTTAAACTGCGATTCTGGACTTTTGCGCCACATACGGACTGAAGCAGGACTGAACCAGGACTGAACTTGCCTGGCCAAGTTATCATGGCTCTTCACAGTCACAAGTCTAACAAGTTTTGATCTTAACGGTTTTGAAATTTCCAAAACAAATTCATTTCATTGTTTAAATATCACAGTGAAGGTCAATTCATTATTATTGGATGTTTATCTGTGCTTAAGGTTCTTAAAAGCCTGCGCGGTTGAAAGCTGGCATTGTTCATTAGAGGTACTTAACATGCACGCTCACTCACTTTATCTGAAGAGATCATCGAATGTTTCAGCAGTGCCTGGATGAGTGCGAGGAGAAACCTTGAATCTTTAGCAGGGTTAATACCAATCTGGTGCAGGCAAGTGAAGGCTGAAAGTCTAAACTGAGAATGTCTCGTTTTTTTCCTTTGCATTTTGCTAATAGACATAATGAAGATTCAACGCTAAGATTAAGATTAAAGGGCCCATATTACGACTTTTTAAAATCTATGTTATAATGTTGTTTCCTCATCACAAACACATCAGGAGTTGTGCTTCTTTCAAACGGAAAATCTGTGATGTGTTTTTAAACTTAATACACCTTTGCTAGAATCATTTGGATAGTTTGAGCCCTGGAATTGCCAATCTCTCCTGAACTAAAGTAGCCTGATTCATCCGCCGGTTGTACATTGTTTCACTTTGTACAAACCTACATTCAACCAATCGCTGCTATTTGGTCATGACGTATGTAATGCGCCACTAATGGGGTTAACTGGTATATTAAGCTTTTCCCAAATCCCGTAGGAAGAAGGACAATAACGTCTTTCCCCTTGATGAAATTTACCAAACATTCTCTTTATTCTGGCTTTAAATCCTCCTTGGGAATCCTTGGGTTCTTGGGCTCTTCGCTGATTGGCTGGTGTCCGAATTTGCAATTCCGGGGTTTTTGCGAACTGCCTAGTGTATTTTGATTCCTGAACGAGTGGCTGGAGAGAAATGAAATTGAGCGGAGGCACTAGGTGGCACCAGCCTGGCTAGAACTAAAGGTAAAAGTTTGCTGAAAACTACAGCTGCATGACATCACAAGGTGGAACAGAGCATTTTGACCTTTAGAGATGTAGACACCCTAATAATAAAGGATAACTCAAACATGTGTGAATGATACAAAACACAACTCCAGGTATTATTATTTATATGCTTGGGAGTAAGAAATGCAATTTCGATTCTTAATATGTTTCATATGAAGAAATGGCAATAAACTTTTTTTGAATTTGAAATTGAGACTTGATACTTGATATCACAATGATACTAAAACACTTTTTATTTAGGGAAGAAAATGCCATTTTCAACATTAAACCAGGCTAACAAAACTGTTAATATGCTACTTTTTCCTCTTGAAATGCCTCGACAAGACTTAATCCAAAGAACTATGACTTAAAAGTGCTTAGAACTGTATCTGTTGTACTCTACACTGAAATGGATCAAAGCATTACAATGCTTTTTTAACCTGGGTTGAAGTGGTGGGTTTTTCGTTTTTCTTCATACAAATTTGCTAAAATCACTGCGATATCAGCAGCGATGAAACGTCATTGTTACGGTTCCAAATGTTGGGATGGGCCCAGAGATGCGCCCATCGTAGACCATCGCATGATCCCGGGTGAAAGGACCAGCACAGAGCTCCGTGCTGCACAGGGCTAATCGCAGCTGATGCCCGATTGTGCTTTATGGACCCCCTGCTCCACGGGCTCGGGGTTCTCTCAGGGGCAGACCTAGATTCCAAATCCTAGTCCAAGATTAGTCCTGGTTTGGTCCTGGTTTAGACCTGGTTTAGTCTTAGTTCTTAGACTAAGTGCTTAGAACTGTATCTATTATAGTCTACACTGAAATGGAGCAAAGGATCATGGTCTACGTAGTTTCCTCTGTCTTTTTTTAGCTATTGCTGCACCATAACTCTTAATTTAAGAAAGAGGCTTGTAATTTGATATATTGTGATCGTCCATGATATTATTGTGAGAACTTTGACAATACAATATCACAATATTTCGGCTATTGTTACATCTCTATCATTCAGTCATACTTACGTAAACATGGAATTTATTGTTACATTGTTTAGTAATAATACAATACAAATGCAAGATTTTCTCCTACAAAAGAACATATTTTTCGTTTCCCTCTTCCCCTGTAGGCACGCATCCAAGTACTTCATAATTTCCATATCCTCCGAAGCACCCGTTTTCACACTAATAGTCAATATTTTCTGTTTTTTTCCCGTTTTTCTCTCCAGATCTCTTACAAGGCGGTGAGTTCATTTGACCCCGAGCTTGACCTGTCCAACCAGAGCGGCAAAGTGGTGAAGCAAGCCAATGAGACCACCCACACGTTCACCGGCCTGGACCCCGGCTGCACCTACTCCTTCACCCTGCGAGCCAGCACCGCCAAGGGCTACGGGCCACCGGTCATCACGCAGTTTACCACCAAGATCTCAGGTCAGCCATGCCTCACACACAAGAACACACAGAATGTTTAGAGTGGTTAGTAACACTTTATAATAATACTGAAGAAGACATATTGTTCTCGTGTTTGCTATTTAGTTTTAATCTATGACAACCATGGATTATTATGTTTATGTCTAATTTGGACTTTTTAAATCACAATTTGGATCGAAAACTGCTTTCATTGGCATCAAAAAGACCAATTTAAGAAAGTAAAATTGTACAGAGAACAACGATGAAAACAACTTCTTGAAAATAAGCCATTAAACATTGCTCAAATAATGGTGATTGGTCAATAGGGGGCGCCACACTCCCTAACTTGACCTAGATAAACTTAATAATAGAAAAAAAGAAGCAAATAAAAAGTATTGCACCGGATTTTCATTCAGGAGAGAGAAAGAAGAGAGGATGAAGAGACAGAAAGGGGAGGGTGAGGGAAGGGGTGTAGAGATAGAGGAGAGAGGAAGAAAAGATGGAGAACAGAGAGGGGGTTGAGCGTAGAGATCAGAGGGGTGGAGAGTAGCAAGATAGAGGGGGGAGAGAGAAAGAGAGAAGAGTGAAAGAGGGTGAGAACAGAGAGAGAAGAGTGTAGGATGAGAGTCAAATAGCAACAGTGACCAGAGAAAGGAGAGAGGGAGAAGAGAGGGGGGAAGGGAAAGTAGAGATACGAGGAGAGAGAGAGACAGAAAGAAAGGAGAGAAGAGAGAGAAGAGAGGGGAAAGAGACAGAGAGACAAAGAACGATGCGGGAGAGAGTAGAGATACAGGGGGGAGAGAAAGACGGAGAGACAGAGAAAAGAAAGGAATAGATGGGAGAGAGAAGAGAGGAGGAAGAGACAGAGAAAAAGAAGGATGGGGAGGGAGAGCGGAAAGACAGAGGTAAAATTCTTATAAATATTAACAACACAATTAGTTCTGTTAGTGTTCGCTTTTCACAACTTTCAGAAACCAGTGCAGAGTTTCGCCATCAATGTAAAACATAACTAGCATGGTAACACACACTTCCTGATTCTCTGACAATAAAACGCTTTATAATTAGATGTGAGGCTACTTATACATATGACTGTACTGGAGCTCAAATACTTGGAAAATAAAATCTGGAAATATTTTCAAGTCAATTTATACACCAAAAAATTTGAAATTATTATTTTTTTTTAATTATCACATTATATTATAACAATCAATACACAATATCATCAATATTATCTTTACATTCAGAGTCTGATTTCATACAGATGGCCACATACTAGACAAATGGAAATGTACGATATAGTAAAAACACAGAGGATTTCACTAAATTGGGTAAAAAAAAATAAAAGAGCAGCTCATTAATTATTTAAGTAGTTGTAGTCCAATTAGGGGGCTTATAAAGCAGAGCTGTTATCTGTGAGTGTAGAAATAGTGTTTTGATGCATGTTTTTTTTTTCTTTGTCTGTGGAGTTTGTCATCTATAAATCATAACTCCAACAAAAGCTATCCCTCTCCCTGCCGTGTAAACGCATGTTACTTCTGCACATTTGATCCACTTTGAACTCAGGTTTCTTGAAGCTACTAGTGGCAGGAGCAATTGTTTCACTGTTATTGCAATCTTTTCAGTTGAGAGACATGAGAGATATGGCTCTGAAGGCAGACAGGGCCTCGTAAGATAAAAGTGGGACGATTGTCACTAAGATGTAACTGTCTTATTCTTTCATATGTGTTTTCATGCCTGCTTTTAATTCTAATAAATTTAAAGCTCGCCATACGACTACAGGATAATTTGCCTGATTTAGACCCTGTGATTCTGAAGCAGCTGCTCTCCTTGTGCATGTATCAGTTAGGGCTGTCACGATGATTAATGTTGAAGTATGCTGCTGGATTGAGTATTGGCCCCATGATATTGATTCCCCAAATCTTACCCAAATTTTTTTTGCAACAAAATTGTACACACGATCAATTCTGAACCCCAAACAATACTGTTCTAGCTTTCATATATTGAATGATACGTCAATATATTATTCATCATGACAGGCCTAGTGCAACTCTGAGCTGCTCTTTCATATCGTAACCACAAAACATCTAGACAGGCTGGTGCCACCTAATGCCAGGAATTGGAATATACTAGACGGTTTGCATGAACCCCGGAAGTGTGAGTTCGGGCACCAGCCAATCAGAGAAAAGTCACACATTCTGTGTTGGCAACGATTCCCAAGATCGAGGATTTAAAGCCGGAACAAAGAGAATGTTTGGTGAATTTTATCAAGGGGAAAGACATTATTGTCCTTCTTCCTACGGGATTTGGGAAAAGCTTAATATACCAGTTTGCCCCGTTAGCGGCGCATTACATACGTCACAAACAAATAGCAGCGATTGGTTAAATTAAAAAAGTACCCGCCTACCGTCGAGAACAAATCCTAATGCTGTGAGGTCAGACGGTTTCCATGAAGTGAAACCAGCTGATGAATCAGGCTTCCAAACATCACCACGGGAACTAAAACTGAGCGTCATGACGTGACGGACACGGAGGAAATGGCAAAAAGGACCATGATTACTTTTCATGTAAAACTATCCGGTTGAACATTAGTATTCATCTATGTCCTTTTGTCCAATTTAGTAATTTACTGACAAACTGATGGCGCCCAGATGACAAAACACCACAAATTATCCAGTTTAAGCATTCTTTAAAAAGCAGAAAGTGAGAAAAAGATGACAGTAGAGCATGTGTCATGTCCTGTTTACATAGTTACAGTTTAGATCTGCAAACATGTTCGGAGATGTGTTTTTTGTATCAGTTTGTCACTTCATATTTCAGTCTTTTTGTCATTTCTTCTAACGTGGCTCACACCAGACTGATATTTGTTACTTTGAACTGAGTTCTACACATTATCAGTCTGGAAGCGCTCTCATTGAAAGCGATCGGAAAAGGCAGGGCGTCATGACGACTGTTTGAATCTGATTGATCGAAAGCTTCACAACAGCAGAACAGAAATGGAAAATCAAAGTTAAGTTAAATCCAGTTGAGAGACGAGCACAGACATCGTCCCTGTTCACACGTTCTGCATCTTTTTCACAAATAAAATAGGCTGAAGTACTGTTTTGGTTGTTCTTTGAGGTCCTTCCCCTTTGACTTACACAAACAAACCTCATTGGTCGCCCACCACCTTGTTGGACCCTAACGCAGCAGAATAATAAATCTCACGAGAATCCACCTGGTTGTACGAGGTCACAATTCTTCTGGACATGTTTAAAAAGTGACCTTTGAACAGACTTCTATTATTGAAACATAAATGGCAAATCTAATCTCAATGCTTGTCAGGAAAATCATGTTTTTTTCCATACATCGTCCAGCCGTACTGTTCTTGTAAAATGTGTCTTATATATTCTCCTGTATTGTGCCCGTAGCTCCCTCTATGCCCGCCTATGACCAGGAGACCTCTCTGAACCAGACGGACACTACAGTCACTGTGCTGCTGAAGCCGGCCCAGAGCAGAGGAGCACCTGTGAGGTAAGTCTGGAAGACATGAAAATAAGTCCAGCCAACTAAGCACAAAATAAAGCACTTTACTCTGCACAAATCTTTGACAGCTTTTTAAAGTAGAGCTAAGGAACTTTTAGACCCACTTTTTCTCATTTTTTCCTCAGTAAATTGTGTCTTATGCTCATTATTGACTCATTAATTACGCCATAGCCACTCCAAGATCTTCAGTTCTATACATTTTCTATTGCTCTGTTCTTTCTCGAGTCAGAACCAAACATATTCGTCCAAATTCGTTGTTTCAGTGAAGCATGTGAATCAAAAGAGCTCACTGGTCACATATCATTTACAAATAAAATGACATTTCTCTCACCTCAGATGAACAGAATTTAGTGCTTTGTTCATTGATTTTTTTCAGTTCTCTGTGATACTTTTTCTTTTTTTTTCCTCATAAGCAGCCATATTTGTTTCGATACTGTAGACCATGTGTGTCCCTGATTGGTTAATTCAGGGGTGTTCAACTTTAATTCACATAGGGCCAAAATGAAAAACTGGGACTAATTTGTAGGCCAAACCTTCTTTCAAGATACGTAATGTTAGACCTTTTCTTATTAAAATAAATGTTTAATAATAATTTAGCTTAAACACTGAATCCAGAACAAGCATATTGTAGAATAATAACAACATTTTAAACGTAAAGAGATGTGCTGTGGCTCAAGCTACTTTTTCCCAAACAAGAAAGCGTAAATCCTCGTCAGCACCACACGCTCTTACTGCTACATGATTGGTTGTAGACCTGCCGAATTAAAATGTGGTCATCTTATCATCGCGATCGACTTAAGTAGAGATTATGACTGATCGATCTTCCGATTTTTGAGCCCTACTACTTACATTTATTCCATTATAGCTTAAAAATAACTAGAAAAACAAACAACCTGTAACTTGGTCCGGTTTGGTCTCCATGAAGATAGAAATGTTTAATACCGTACTGGGAAACATTCCAGTCAAAGAAATAAAATCACCATGGAGAAAAGCGTTTGACGGACCTTCCACCGGAAAAGTTAAACAATGCACCTTCAAATTTCCAAAACTAAAAACTTAGTCACAAGCATTTTCACTTCAGCCCTAAACTTTCGCACAGTTAATGTAGCACAACCTCAGCACCGCCGCGTATCAAAGCGTTGTTTATCTGGACTACATGGAGGGGAACCTGTGGGGGAATTGTCTGCCTCCTCGTCGGCGTGCACCTCGTTTCGCGAGTGGTATTTGTTTGTGGATTTTGATCGTGAGAAAAGGGAAGCTCGCTCCTTTGAAGATGAGAACAAAGTGGAGCAGATCAGGCGAGCTCGGGGATCTTTTCCTTTACATATCTTTTATGTGCACAGCTGGTCAAACCCGAGCCTCCACGCACGCAGGGGGAGCCGGGAGTTTCACCTTTCAAGCATGCATTTATTAGGAGTTATTAGAAACAGGGCGTGAGTCATAACCATATTTTACCTTTAGCTATATGGTGTTTGTGAAGACGCTTGGTACTTGGTCTGGTTCAGCAGATAACTTGTGTTGTGGACAATTACAGTGAATGGAGCGGGGTACGTGGTGTAGCTCCTAGTAAATAAAGGCCTTTTAACTATATTTTTCCTTCTTTGGAGTAACCTGGAGTCTGTTGTGTTTTAAGTTTTGATCTTTTTTCCAAGAGCACCCCCGACCTGCTCCCACTGTTTGGAACACCTGCAGCAAACAGCCACAATTTAGTGTTTTCTGTAGGTCCTAGTGTTGTTGTAATATTAAGAGTTAAAACTAGACTCAGTGCTGAATTACGATGCTGCAATGATTAAAAAATAAAACACTATTTAGACAACATAATGTGATTTTCTTCACTGAATTTTAGCGCTTTCTTTTATATTCCCATGTGGTTTTGTATTTCTGTAATCTTTCATTGGTCCAGGTAGGTTCCACAATGGTCCATGGACATATACTAGTCTATGTGCTCTTCTGATGCTTGAATTTATTTGTTTGGAGGAGAAGACCCTTGATATGTCTCGCCATCTCCTTTTTAAGTGGGTCCTCAGCTTAAGATCATTCTGACACAGCTCAAAATCATTCTAAAACTATTCAGGAAAGGTTCACTTCTGTCCTGCGAATGTGACTTTTTTTTAGTATTGATTCTTGTACAAATGAGTATCTAGTTTTGATACTAATTTTATTATCGATTACAATCTGACTTTCGATACTTTGACAACCCTAGTGCGTACAGTATCTTACCTGGCTACCCAGTTTAACTGCTTACATTACTTCTACCACTAGTTATTTCATACATGTGCACTGGTCAAAGGTTTTAGAACACCACTCTTTTGCAAGTTTTTTACTGTTTACTGTTGCCCAAAACATATTCTAAACTTTTGATTCATGAAAATGTCCACCTTTGGCAGATATAACAGCTGAACACACTCGTGGCTCGTTCTTTTTACAATAGAAATCTAAATATTCTTCAGAAAGTTCTTCCCAAGTCTGTTGCAGAAGTTCCCATAAATGTGTGGCACTTGTAGGTCGCTTCACTCTTCTGTCCAGTTCATCCCAAACCAGCTACATGGGGTTTAAGTCTGGACACTGTGCTGGACACTCCATGTTTTCAAGTTTACCATCTTGTTCTTTTTTCCTGAGGTAGTTTTGGCAGAGCTTGGACTTGTGTTTTGTCATTTTTATTTATTTTTTTAACCTCTGTCTGTTCAGTTCTTACCTTTGTACCATTTCATTCTCTTCATTGGACTTGCACGACTTGAATTGCAATAAATAAATGGAAAAATGAGGGTGTTCTAAAACTTTTGACCGGTAGTGTATAGAGAGATGTAGATGTAGATGGACATAACTAGTCTGCTAATTGCTGGGCTGCAAATGGTTCACAGTTCACTTTCTGTGGAAAAATGTCAGTTGCCTCATCATTCGGGCCTTAAAATGTTAATTTTAACCCACTCTACGCTATCCTGATGATTTTTATATGGTCTTTTTTGTCCAGAAATCAAGATATGAACATTAATAACAGACAAATCAGGTGCCTTTTCCCCCCAAGGCCACTCCTTCAAGCATTAGAAACAGGCTTGATTGGCAGCTTTTGCTCCAAGTTGTTTAAGATCAGGAAGGACCTCACTCCTGATTGGCTCTTTGGTCACATGCTCGAATTTCCAAATATGGAAGTTGGCTCTAAATTATCCTCTCTACTAGCCTCAATTTGCTTCATTTGGCTTCATTTGGCCGAACACTATGGGTGACGTCACATTCCTCAGTCCACTATACTGTGCATGGCCTAGGAATATACAGTTTTTTAGTGTTTTAATTTTAATTAAATTTCATCAGAAAGTGGTGGATTCAATTCTCTTAACGTCCAACAAGAATTTTCACCGACCATTTCAATCACAAAGAAATTCTCATTTACACCAAAAGTCCTTTAGTGAAAACATAGCTGACGGGTGTTTTTGTTTTGTTTTGTTTTCCCAATTTTTATTTATCGCCATACAACTCAGTGCAATACTATTCCTTTGTACGCCAATGGACTACTTTTTCTGGCAGCCTTGCATTGAACTTAACTGTTAACAATGCATGAAATCAGATTATAATATCTAATGCACCATCTCCAGACTTCAGCAGGGTATTTTTATATTTATTTATTTATTAACCTTTATTTAACCAGGTGAAAAACCCATTGAAATCTCCTTTTCATGGGGTATCTGGCGTGTATACCCGACTTACCCAATAAAATAATCATTTGTTGTAAGCCTATCTCTAACAAAAGGCCTTATTAGAAGCACCTCTAGTCCACGCGTGTGCCTGCAGCATTCTGTTTGAACAACTCATTGATTTCTTTTGTTATCTTTAACATGCAGCGGCCGTAGTTTAGACGCTATCTTCTCTGGATTAGCCGCTTTGATACTTGGTCTTTGTTCTTGTCTTTACATCCTCGTTCATTGTAAAATCGCGATATCATCTAACGTAAGGAGGCGTTATTTTTCTTCAAGCCCGTATGACAGGTTAGGACACGCATTTCGCTAAATCATGGGTAAAGCAGACCTGTTCTCCCAAAATCGATTTTTCAGAGCTTTTAATTATGTTATAGTTGTTTCCCTTTCTCATTTTACCTCTCAGAGTTGTATTTGTAATTACTTATTTTCAATACGCCATGTTGCCGTTCAACCCTGTTTTCTCTTCTTCAGTAGGGATGGAACAATAACCAACATATCGTGACATCGTATCGTAAAAGTTTTCACAATAATATCTTGGACCATCACAATATATCGAATTACAAGTCTCTTTACTTAAATTAAGAGTTACGGTGCAGCAACAGCTAAAAAAAAAAAAAGACAGAGGGAACTACATAGACCATGATCCTTTGCTCCATTTCAGTGAAGACTACATGAATAAACTAGAAAAGCACTCAGAGAGCGCAGACCTCCACCAAGGACTACAGTCCCCCACATATTAATTGTGTTTTCCATAAATATTTGTCTCGTATCTTTCAATTTGGAATATGAAAGAGGATCCCATTGTCCATCCCTGAGTCAAATTTCATGGGGTTTGGTCAATAATTAACCGAGATATTGAGAAACAAAATTTTTGGCAACATTTACCACAATGTTAACTAAAATTTCAAAGTGATCCAGAATCCAGGATTTCTTCCGGATCACCCCCAAAATGAAATCAGTTCTTCCTTTTCACATTTCCAACAAATCCTGAAAATTTCATCAAAATCGGTCCATAACTTTTTGAGTTATGTTGCTAACAGACAAACAAACAAACAAACAAACAAACAAACAAACTCCGGCAAAAACATAATAACAGTTCTAAGCACTTTTAAGTCTTAGTTCTTTGGATTAAGTCTTGTCAAGGCATTTTAAGAGGAGAAAGTAGCATATTAGCAGTTTTAGTTGTTTAGCCTCCACAAAATACCACAATACATATCGTACCATTAGATGTGTATCGTGATAATATTGTACCGAGAAATTTGGATATTGTTACATCCCTATAAATGAGCATCCTCA